CTTCTATGAACCAAACATTAAACTTCAAATCAATTCATTGCCCTCGTTCGATTTTGGACTAGAGCGAGAATTAAAATATTGGTTGGTTTAAAAAACCTGATTCATATTTCCAATTTGTTCAACCTTAAATCAAAACGCAACGAAAAGACTGACAAAATGAAGCTCTTGATTTTGATGATAGTTTTGAGCTGCTGGTTCTCTTTGGTTTTCCCGTCCAAAGGTATCAATAAGTGTTGGTAACTTTTTCTCAATTGTTTCTGCTCATTCTTATATCCTTCACATCTGTTATGTACCGGCTGATTTATACGCTCAGTTAATTAGTTTAACTACCAATGTGATCGCGTGTGTTTCTCATSAAATATTTTGTGATAAAATGATGAATTACAAATAGCAAAAAAAACGAGAAATATTGTATATAAAACTCTTAAAATAGTGTCAATCAAGCGTAGTCGCGCAGCGTATGCATTTGTTGATGTTCGAGCTTTGCGTCGATGTTTTTTCGTAGTTCTTCCTTGCCAAAACACTGACAACTTATCGCGCAACATCAACAAAAGAGTTCTTGAAAAACGACAAACACTGGTGCTAATATAACAGTAACAATGTAGCGCGAAAAGTTCAGTTTTTTCAGTCTATTTCCCGGGCATTCTAAATTGTAGGACGTCCATGATCGTCAAAACTAAATGTATTTATTTTATTTTGTGTTTTAAGACGTACTTGAACGATCCATGTGCAAGCGACTGAAAGAAAAAGGAATGTGCAAGAGCCGTTTTACCTGCATCAAAAACGATCTATGTGAAGTCACGTGCGGTAAGAACATACAGAATTTTGTGCAATCAGTGTATTTTCATGTAGTTTTGGAGATCGATAATTGTTTTGTTTTACCATATCTGCATCCAGATTCTTAAATGTTGCCTCTCTAAGAAATCACTACTCCCTTATCTTTGACTGCCTTATTTATGTTACTATGTATTTATAGGGTGTGACGACATTCTTTCTCTGCGATCGTGTAAAGTACTGAAAGGAATAAAAGCATGCTCCAAAAACTTGGCAGTTGGGTTCGATTATTGCAGGTGGACATGTGGATTTTGTTGTGAGTAAATAATCCTTTTTTGGAAACTAAGTGACGATTACGATTTTTAAATGTGGTACTACCACATTTGACATGTTTCGGCGTTACTTACGCTTACTTACGCTACGACCATCGCTAAACCAACAAGTTAAACACTTAGCGCTCTCTTTGTCTTTGTAACTTTATACCAACATATTCACGTGCTATGTTTACTATATATTTAACAATTAGACCTCGAGGTCAGTGGACTACGAGCTAATAGCCCATGAGGCCGAGTCCGCGAGGCCGAATGGGCTATTAGCTCGTAGTCCACGAGGCCGAGAGGTCTAATTGTTTTAGTATAAACATACTAATCGGTCAAATAATGAAAACAAATTGAAATATCCTTAGAATAATTTATAATTTATTGATTTTGATTTTCCCGCGAGTGGTCTATCACAAATTAGACCATTAGTAGAGTAGCCAATCACAGCGCAGTATGAGTGATAGAACATTAGTATGTTTATACTAAATATATATATTACTAAATATATATATCACTTTCCTTACTTTGTTTTCATTTCTGATGATGGCGTAAGTAACGCCGAAACATGTCAAATATACCACATTTAAAAATCGTAATCGTCATTTTAAAATTATTATGCTCATTGCTGCTCAAAAGACCTTTTGAAACTAAGTGACCTGTCATTATTTATCGTCAGGGTTGGAGTGAAAGATATGCCGATTATTATACCTTTTTATAATGCACCACTCTCCAGACGGTTAAAGT